ACTACAAAGAATGAAGCTCACCTCAATAACTGCTTGTTGCAGGAATGATTCAAAAGACTCTAATGATCAATGTATAACTGAAGGTTGAGGGAAAGGATGATTCTAGTAAAAAAAAAAAAAAGTAATAAGCAAGAATTGCTAAACAAAGGGGAAGAGAAAGAGTAGAATTGTGGAGTCGGTCATGGATGGATTATTGGTTGTTGGGATTTCTGGGAGACATGCACTTTCAAGAGAAGCCGAGAAAGACACTGTGACCCTCATCCCTGACTGAGAGAGGAGCCATGAACATGATGAGAATGTTGACAGAAAATCTGAGCTGAGGTGCTTTTGTCCACTCCCGTTTGGACAGTCTGGTGAGAGCCAGGGCTGCATTTTGCAGAGACCTCAGTGAGTACCCAAGGCAGCTCAGCCAGTCTGGGCCTGACGGGGCTGGGGTGAGTGCTCCTCAGCCAGCCTGGGCTGTCCTGTAGCACAGAAGAGATCAGAAATTTCTGTTCCCTATCGAAAAAGGGACAGTTATTAAAAGCTGAGGAGCTTGCAGGGGCTCCTTTTGGTGGGGGCTAAGTGACCCCGAATCTAAGGGCTGATGGACACGCCTCTCAGAGTCACATAGTGACCTTGGTGGGTGAAATATACTAGTGAAAGCTGGAAAGGGGTCCATTCAGCCAAAGGAGTTCCTGGGTTCCCAGGAACATGGCCTGACTAAGCAAATACACCTCGAGCTACAACAGGTGGGCCTTTAACATGCACACAGGCAAGACTCCTTAGTTAAGGCTGAATCCACCAGGTTTCAGCAGATACCAGCCAGAGGACAGCAAGAACCAAAGAGGTGATACAGGGGACATGAGCCCAAGCCCTAATATGAGACATGGGACCCTTCCCCATCATGACATCAGGAGAATGAGAAGCTTCCCCTATAGCCAGCAACCATGTGGGGAAGGAGAAAGAGACAGGGTGGGAGGAACAGGTCTGTTAGAGTGAAACTTTACACCAACAGACTACTTACCCAGTAGAGATGATCTGGACTGAAACAAACTGGGAAACTGCTAAGTTTAAATCTCCCCTACCTTCTTGGCCCAGGGAAGCAGAGGCTCATGAGAAAGATTCAATCAGCCGGAGGAAATTAAAATGTGCTCTTTGTTTTATGAACCCAGTGTGTTAAAACTGTGACCTATCAATTTGGAAGTCAAGAAGTTGTGAACTGTGAGAAGAGAAATTTCAGGAGGAAACAAACAGGAGGCCTATAGTACAGACAAAAAAGTACATTACCAACCTCATGATCATGATGGCCCAAGGAGACCTCCTCTCGATTGTGAAGGGTGAAAAGAGATAAAATAGCAAGAAAGGCCAGGACACGGCATGAGTTTGCTGACCCAAGGAGTGAAGATAATCAGCGTGGAAGGATGGCATACATGCTTCAAATCTGCTTTGAAATAACTGAGTAATGCATGTTTCTCTATTGACTTTGATTTTGGAGGCCTAGCTTACTCAAATTGCTTCTGTTGAGATCTGGAAAAGCACTAGAAAGGTAGTAAAAATACTTTATGTGTATCAATCCCTGCCATTCTGCAGTGGATGCTACACAGAAGAATAAGGTGGGGAAAGGCTACAAAAGCAGGAGAAGTCTCCTGATGCCTGGAGGGACCCAAGAGATGGTCCCCACCTGGACTGGCTGAATGGGTTAGAGTAGCAGTTTGGCAGCTGCTCACATTCTGTCTCCCAGACATCTCCTTTGGCTGAGGTATGTGGACTTAGAGGACAGCTTGAAGAGATGGTTTCTCAGTGTGTTTTAGTATTTAGTGGACTGTTTACTACTGTCCTGTAACATGCCCACATCGAGAACTGGGTTAAGACCCTGAACCTTTCATCTTTAACTACCTTTGACTTGATTTCTTTTCTTTGTGAATCAAGAAAAACCTGTCACTTTTTGCCTTTAGTCGTGGACTGTCTGTTCTACCTTTAATCATTTCACTAACAGTTTTGGTATCACATTCTCCTGATGTGTTAAGAACTTCTTATTCAATGAAGTTTTCTGGGTCTTCATTTCTACTAATATAACACCAGATGTAATTGGGCTCTTCACTACAGTTAGAAAGGAAGGAAAAGCAAGCCTAACTTTTAAATGTATAATTCACATGTAGATATCCCTCACTATCCATATACTTAATTATGGATTATAAAACTAATTATGTACTCTGTGGTGTTTCTCTCTGAAGCTCCTTCAGATATTCTACATTCATCTTCACAACATCTTTGTAAGATATGACCAAAAGATCAATTATTTTCCTCTAATGGAAAGAAGAAATGGTAAGTGGTTTGCCAAGGTCACTCATCGTTAGTGCTGGAGCTTGGTGGCAAGAAGCCCAGGTCTCATGATTATTGCTCCGGTGCTCAATCCAGGAAGTCGTGTTGCCTCCCCAACCATGTTGGTGCCTCAGGAGTGGCTCTAGGTTAGATAAGCAGGCAGACCTCCCCCTGAGGCATTCAGCAAGCATATTAGTCGGTTTTCACACTACTGATAATGATATACCTGAGACTGGGCAATATACAAAAGAAAGAGGTTTAATGGACTTACATTGCACATGACTTGGGAGGCCTCACAATCATGGCAGAAGGCAAGGAGGAGCAAGTCATGTCTTACATGGATGGCGGCAGGCAAAGGGGAGCAGGGAAACTCCCCTTTATAGAACCATCAGATCTCAGGAGACTTATTCACTATCAGGAGAACAGCATGGAAAAGACCTATCCCCATGATTCAATTACCTCCCACTAGGTCCCTCCCACAACACATAAAAATTCAATATGAGATTTGGGTGGGGACACAGTCAAACCATATCAGCAAGCCAGAGAGGATGCAACCAACTGCATGGTCAAACCTGTTCTCAGCCTTCAACCAGAAAGCAGCATATATGAAATAGATTACACAGCAATCAAGAAACAGCCCCCATCTCCATCCAATGCAACAGACCATGCTGGAGCACCTCTGCCTTATAAAGCCCTTGTTGTTATAATGATAGCAAAAGCAGAGGTGCTATGTCACATTAATGGCATAGTCAGTCACATTAAGCTCTTTAAAAATAAAAAGTTTAATATATGTAAGGCTCTAAGGTATATCTCATGATCATCCCATTTAATCCTTACAAAAAATTATGAGGTACATATAATCACCCTGATATAGAACTGGCAAGTGCCAGAGTGAGGATCTAAACCCAGCTCTGTTCACTCCACCCTCCCATTGCTAGAGTTGGAGGCAGCATGAAGGTGGGACATCACAAATCAGGTCACTACCACTTTTGGGGACAGGAGAGATAGACTCGAGTAAATCACTCTTGGAGGCCAGCTCAGTAGAGAAGAGCAAGCAAAGTGGAACAAATGGTCCTTGAGTTACCTCTTGACTGTGGTACTAATTTAACTTTGTGACTTTGGCATAGTCAAGCTCAGTGACAAAGTGATTCCATAGCCATACAAATGATTTCTGACTAAAATCGGCACCTGGAGGGTGAAAAATAATGAATTTCCATATGGATGAGGGGATTATGGGACATGCCTCTCCAGTGGGCTGGGTATCTCTCTCACTTTTTGTCACTCTTTTCTCCTCATCACTGCTGCATTTTTAAGAGCCTTGAATAACTCCTGCATTCTAGATATATACTCCAGTGTAAATATGCAGAACATTTTGACACTTAAAAATATGTCCATAGCGAAGTAGGACAGGTTGAAATTATAGTAGCCTGGAGCCATAAGGGAGAGAAAGAAGTAATACTTTACGTTCTGAAGTTACAAGGACTAGTTTACCAGCCAATTGCTGCAGAGGGAGGATAAAATTACTAACCAAATCAACAAATGCATAGGCTAGAAAACAAATAAATTATTTCAACACTATTTCAGAAACCCATGTTTCATCAATGATAAATCACTACGTAGAAGGGAAGCTACGAATACTGTACTTATTTTAAAGACTCAAAATATGACTTAATATCTTCATGGAGTGATATATTCATTTATTCAAAAGTGAACCATCATAATATGTGAATGGGTATACCTCATTTACATATAATATGCCAGGCAGTGATAAATTAGAACTATGAACACCTACTGCCTCAGTTCCCCGATGATAGCCTCAACTAATTTCTGCCTGATAAAGTAAACAAAATGATTGTTCCAGATTCCTAAAGAGTCTTGTACTGAATCCTCACCGCAAAATTAAATTTTGCCAAAGGCTGATGTGCCGTGTTTATGATGCCTGCCTCTCAACTGACAGAGGGCTGTGAATGTAATAAGGATCCTTAATGCCTGGGGAGATTAAGAGATTGTTACAAGTTTATCCCAAAGCCAGTGTCAGAATTGGATCTTTATAGCATGATTTCATGACTTTGTGAGAATATACTCCCAAAATGTTACACAAAGCACATTCAGTTTAATTCCAAAGCCAAACATAAGTGCTTGGGATTATCTATGCCTTGGCTGCCCTTCATTAATGCAAATAATTAAAAGCTGAGTATAAACACAAAGGCACATGGACTGCCGAGATAAAGTGAGAGATCTGCACTCTCTTCAACCATTCTGTTTTCTTTTGTCCTTTTGGTTGCTTGGATGTTTACAGAGCTCTCCCCATTTGCTCCACTAAATGCCTGATGAAGGACAGGATAGGTAGTTTCATCCCCATTCTGTAAATGAGTACCTCAGGCTCTAAGGGATACGAACTTGTCCAAGGTCATTTAGAAAAGAGTAAAAACCAGAATAGATTTCAGAGCTCCCATTTCGTGGTGCAGGGCTTTTTCTGCTACACCTTCTCCATGGCATATTTTTCAGAATGCACCAATAGTTGGCACCATCGATCATGCAACAAGTGTTTACTCAGAGCTCACTGCATGCATGAGACTATTTTAGGTATCACAGATAGAATGATGGACAACAAAAAGACCCAGCCTTTCTGATAATAAGAGATTGATAATGCAATATGTAAACCACAAAGTTTTATTCTTTTTTTTTTCTTTCAGCTTTCTACTCATAGGGGAAATTAATACACTTTCAGGATGAACTTTGAACACCGAAGATGATAAAAAGAAGATTGCTTATATATTTGTCAAAGTCCTGTTGTCTTGCTCTTGAGATTGGCTAGGGGCACATGATGAGATATGATTTGTTTTTTAAATAATGCATATGTAAAGTGGATCCAAATGAATTATAATTAAACATAGAGTATTGACCAGCCAACCTATTAAAGTGAATATTAGTAATACTACATTATTTCCATTTCTAAAATGGATTCTGATATCTTAAGAAGTTTTATTGTATACCTATGAAATATTGAAAAAAGTATTTGGGGCAGTTGATAAATGATGGCAAATTTCAGATATACTAAGATAGTTACTTTGCAAGGTAGAATTCCACATATAGGCAGCCATTTTAAACAGTACAACAGTTGAAATGTTTAAATAGTGTTTCTAGTCTGAACAAAGTAGCCAAAAACAATGAAATTTATAAATGGAATAAACTGTAACATAGCCTCATCTACTGGAAATTGACCTTTCTAATGTTTTAGCTTAGAAAACACAAAAAATACCTTTTTGTTGAAAAATGATTCATTTCTCATGATAGATGTTTTTTAAATCTTCAATTATTTGGTAACACATTGATTTAGTAATCACTTCCATTGTCTTTCCTTGTTCATAAGTGTATCAGTCCTGAACAGCTAGAGGTAACCTCAGAATATCATTACAGGTTTCTCTTTAAAATAAGAAAACAATTGGTGGGGCCAAGGTTACAAAAGAGCTTCTAGGAAGCCTGAGAACTCTATTTTGTCTGGGGACTAGGGGAGTGGTTGTTACTAGATATTTTACCGTAACCAACCATAAAACAAACACTCTTATTGCAATTAGCAAATTCAAAACCTCAAATAACGTATGTTTTCGGAAACTGTGATTTTTAAATATAAAGACGGTCTACAAAGTGAAGCTCTAATTTACAAGACTAGTTGCCCTAAGCCACAGAACTCCAAATAGGATTATCTAATGCTATGCACCTTGTTTACTTTGTTTCTTTAATTTGCTAATGTTTCCTGATGTATGAAGTAACAGCTGCTGAAATTCTGCAAGCCACAAAAATACTCTTAAGCATAAAACCTATGTCCCGATTTTCGAGGCTGAGATCAGAACAAGTTGTTGAATCTGATTATCTAAATGGGAAAACAGGGAGTGTAAAGAGTGAATCAATATTAGTCATGGCACAAAATGGCAGCAAAATCGACTTCTGAAAGGAACTGCCACTTTCCATGAAGGCGAGGCCACTGCCCAGGAAGGCAGCCACAGCACTTCTCCCAGCTGCCACCTTCTCCTTAAGGTCCGCCTCTGGAGCAATCACTCTGGTGTTTGTGGGGGATAAGGCAATGAGGTTTGGCCAGAGATGATTCTCATTTGATTTCATTTGGATAGTCAAAGAAAATGGGGCTAATTTTATTTCTAATACAGTCTTTCCTAGGGACCAAGTATTTCAGTGTTAGTAACTTCCCATACCCTGTATTTGCTCATGATCCACCATAATTTTATTTCCCTTTGTTCTTCTTTACATATTCTTCATAGGTGATCTACCCAGGTTTGCAAACACCTGTTGTTTGGATGCCAAAATATGCATCATCATCCCCTTCCTGAATTCCAAACCCATATATCTGGCTCCCTGCAAAACATCGCCTACTGGATGCCCAAAATGGGCATCTTTATCTTCCTCTACCAGTCTGCTCTTTCTCCTGTATTTCGTTTGAATATTAGCAGACAGACTATCACCAACATAGTTGTCTAAATTAGAAATTTGGAAGTCATTTGCATTCTTTCTCACCTTGCCTCACCAGTTCTATATTGATTCTACCTGTTTTTTATATGGATATATTGTCCTTCTCTTTCTTCATCCCTATAGTGACTATTTAAAATTCAGAAGCTTATAATAACTTATTTGCACTGCCACAACCTCCTAAATGGCCTCCTTTCTTCTAATCTTACTTTCCTCTAATCTACTGTCTATCCTGGAATCAAAGTCATATTCTAAAATTAAAATCCAATTATATCACTTTCCATCTAAAGTATTTCAATGACAGCCTACTATAGAGAGTAGTGACTGTCAATATTTTTGTTATTAAAGGTTCATTCATATATATTTAAAGTATATGCAAGAGGCAGAAGTGGACTCATTCTGGTTGAAGAAAGGGAGTGGAACCTCTGGATCCCCTTCAGCTCAGGCCCATCTGGGTCTCCCCCACACCGATTCCACAGAGTCTGCAAACAGCTGGATGGTTGTGATAGCCTTAAGCTCCTCTGTTTATCCCTTACACAGACTCTTATAAACTCTCCCAATCCCCAACAGCTGCATTTATAAGTTTCTTTTTGTCACATCTGAATTCATAGGAAAGAGTGACTATGAATATAGAGCCCTTGGCTATCTTTGACCACACATTTTCATCCTTGTTCCAGCCTGGACTACCTATAGCAATAATCCTGCTGTCATCCTTCCCCATAACTCTGGGGATTCCCATGGCCTCTCTCTTATTTGACATTTCCTGTTTCCTGTTTCTCATGAGTTCCTCTTTTTTATTGGTTTTGTTTTTAATTCATTCCCTTGTTTCATGGAAAAAAGCCTCCTGTGTTTCATGAGAATGTGTATGTGTATGTGTGATAAATTTTTGAAAATCTTGTTTGCCTGAAACTATCTTCATTATATCTTTATGTGATTGATAGTTTGGTTTGGTCTATATTTTATTTTTATTTTAGTGTATTTATTTATTTATTTATTATTATTATTATACTTTAAGTTCTAGGGTACATGTGCATAACGTGCAGGTTTATACCTGATGTAAATGACGAGTTGATGGGTGCTGACGAGTTGATGGGTGCAGCACACCAACATGGCACAAGTATACATATGGTCTATATTTTAAATAAATAATATTTTCTTTATAAAGTTCAGCTTTAGGCACACTACCATTGTCCTCTAGCTATTGTGGCACCATTAAGAGATAAAGTCATTCTAATTTTTCACCTTTTGTAGTTGACCAGTGGATTTTTTTTTTCTTTAGAAGCTTGTAGCATCTTCTTGTCCCAACTGCTCTGAAATTTCACAGTGATGTGCTGAGAATGGATTTATTTATGCCATTGAAGCTTTTGAGTGTGACAACTTATGACCTGTCTTAGGAGAGTTTCTTGAATTATTTTCTGTTTGCCTTTTTCTAGAACTACTATTGTTTAGTTGTTGGATTTTCTTAACTATTCTTTTAACTTTTTTATCTTTTCATTTCTATTTTCCTATTCTTTTCCTTCCAGTCTTTATGAGAAAAACATTTTATTGACTCATTTATTGAACTATTTATTTCTGATATAATATTTTTATTTTTTGTGAACTCAGTCGTAGTGTTTGTGCATTATTTTAAGCACCTCATTCTTTTGCTGATGTTACAAAATATTCTCTTATTTCTCTTAGGATGTTAGTGATAGGAGTCCCCTAGCCTTTTCTTTTTTCTCTACCATCTCTGTTTCCTCTAAGTTTGTTTTATTTATGCTGTGTTTTGGTCGCTATCCTTCATTTCAAAAGCTTTCTGTAAAAATCTATAATCCCTTGAATTATATTATTAAGGGTAAGGGATTAAAACCATGATTAGAACCCTTTAGTCCATAGAAAATGCTTGTCAATTTTGAATTTCTCTCTAGGGTGATTTTATGTAGTCTTAACCCAGAACATCACAAGGTTTCTTGTTTTTGTAGAATAACTCTGAAATAAGATCATACAGGCAACAAACTCCATCTTCCCACAGTGAAACAGTAGGGCTGATGGACCCTTTTTCATCATGAGCCAATCACACATATTTCCAGACTCAGTGCAAAGTCTCTTCCTCTGTAGAACCTGCTTTGATGCCATCCTGCTCCCAGGATCCAAATACAATTAATTGCATCCTCCTTGTTGCTTTCAGGACACTTGTATATTCCTTTATTTTTAAACTATCAGGTTGCAAAAACTTGCTTATGCATCACCTTAAATTTTAATTTCCTTGAAGTGAAGAGCTGGATCTTTTTCAACTTTTCTACCATAATACTTGGATAAGTACCTACTGTGGACTGAATTGTGTCCCTCCTGCTGCTGCAAAACTCCTACATTGAAGCCCATCATAATGTGATGATAATTGAAGGTGGGGCCTTTGGGAAACAATTAGCTTTAGATGAGATCATGACAGTAGGGGTATCATGATTGGATTAGTACCCTAATAAGAAGAGGAACCACAGAGCTTGCTCTGGTTCTCTTTCTCTCTCTCTCTCTGCTACTTAAGAACACAGAAGGTGGCCCTCTGCAAGCTAGGAAGAGGGGCCTCACCAGAACCTTTCCATGCTGGCACCCTAATCTCAGACTTCTAGCTTCTGGACCTTTGGGAAAATATATTTCTGTTACTTAAGCAACCGAGTCTGTAGTACTTTGTTATGGCAGCCTGAGCTGACTAATCTAGTACCCAACACAGAGAAGAATCTCACAGTAATTCCGCATAAACCAAGGTGGGGCTATGGCCTTGAACACAAATTCATAATGACAATATTGAGAATTTGGTTCAATGTGCCCGAAAGAAGAAAATCACATTCCCCCTTTCCTGGTTCTTTTTCTTTCAGGCTCTTGTTATCAGTGCATAGTAGCTCAGAGCAGGGCTTCAGGATCAGACCTGAGTTTTGACTTTGCTCTAACACTGGTGGAGGGACCATGAGCAAGTTCATAACTTGTCCATGGCTCAGTTTCCTCCTCTGTAAAAGGACAATAAATGTTCTATATTTACCTCAAAGCACTGTTTGGAGGATTAAAGGTACAGTTCTTAGAAGAGCTCTGGCACTAATTTCTTTTTACTAAAAAGTGCAGTTGTAAAGCTTGGGCTTCCACATCATATGCCAGGGTTATCTTGACTAGCAACCAGCAAGCTGGTATATATCAGTCTATTCCCAGTTTACCCCAAATAATCTGCCTCTTTAAAACCTCCTCAGGAATACTTTTTTTTTGCTAATTGTCTGACTAAAAAAAGAATACTTTTTTTTTTTTGCTTATTGTCTGACTAAAAAGGACAATTCCCTTTATTTATTAGACATAATAAAGGACAATGGGAATAAGAAGCTTTTCTTACAATTCTAAAAACTGTTATCTTTATTGTGAGAACAAATGATTAATCACACCTATGTCTGGCAGTGCTTCAGCCAAGCCACAAGC